ATTTTTTTTACCCCAGCTTAAGCTTTCTCCATTTTGAAAAAAAGAGTCCATCAGAATCTCTATTTCAGTTTCTTTTCAGTAGTATAGAAAGCTTTTGAGGTAACTTGCTTTGTTACTACGTGCAAATTGACAGATTCTTTCAATTTCCTATTGGAAACCGCAGTCAGTAACTACTGCCAGAAAAATATGTTAAAACAGTAATTCCTATTAAACTTTTTAAAACTCAGTTTAACCTACAGAGATTTCAAGTAGGTTTCACTGGCTGCATTCAGCCAGTAGCTTAAGTATCACCTCATAAAACTTTTGTGTTTTAGGAGGTTGAAGAATTGTTTTAGACTACCAAAAATAAGACTTGTTAAATATTCCGCTCAATGGCTAAGTTTAGATTTCTGTTCCCTTTCCAAGGTCCAGATAAAAGCATCTGGAAATCTTCCTGGCAGCTGCAAGAAGAACTTGCTACCATGCTAGCATATCAAGGGTGAAATACAAGCTTTCTCACAGATAAGCTGTCTGCATGCCTGTGGCCTCTTTATGAAGTCGCACAAGCATTTCAATATTCCCAACTATGATCTCTAACAAGCCTAACTCATCATTCCTAACCGTACTCCCTGTAGGCAGAGGCTACCCTGGTACTGTGAGGCTGCAACGTGAGTTGCACCTCCCAGCATGCTGACACAGTCTTCACTGACCCTTTAGACAGCAGTCTGGGTGTTGTGACAGGTCGCATAGCTCACCACAGGAGCCAGTCTTCTTGGCAAGAGAAAGACCAACCTAACCACGCTGTGGATGGCTAATGAGTGATGCCATACAGGACATGGCAAATCCAGGTGTTACAGGGATGTGAAATATATATGTATAAGTATTGGTCAAATCAAAGATGACAGACACGTATGTAAGAAAGGTACATATTTGAATTTGCTTTCTTCCCAATCGTTAGAGGTCTTCAAACACAGCTACTTGGTTTCAAAAAGGGTTTGAGCACCTACAGGTGACAACCACCAAAGAAGCATGTGTTCCTCTGACCAAGCCTAAAAGTGACTGTAGAGATCAAAAATCTTACAGTTAGGATAAAAATCTGACTTAGTTAGGAACTCCAACGACATTAGAATAACAAACTGAAAGCATGTGTCTTTGTCCCCTAATTGGTAATCTTGCAAAACAGAATATATCAAGGAATAACTTCCATGTGGCCTAACTAAAGCTACTTTGATCTAGGTTGCCTGTAATAGTTGCTCATATAGACCAAGATATTCATGCATCCCTTCCATTATGTTCAGTATAAACTAGCATACATAGGGCTGTAAGAGTTAGACAATAGTGTGTATGCTCCTTCTGAGAGATGAGGCGATAGAGTTATGGTTTTGGGTAGCCTAGGTTGGTCACTTTGGGGGAAAAAAAGTAGTTATTGATGTCATCTGTGACTACTCAGTTTAGAGTGAAACTTTGCTGACTCACATTGTGAGAAGCATCAGGCAGAGACGTCCTCCGTGTCTACCAGGAGTCCCTGGGATTACAAAACGCTTACCCAACAGCACCCAAAGAGGAACTGCAGGGTTTAAGCTGGGAAAAAGATGAAGTGATATACAATGCATAAGAAGCCAAGAAACCGCTGCTGTCTGCACGAGAGCTCACAGCAGAGGCTGGCCCCCTGCACCAGCCAGGGGAAGCTGCTCTCTGCCCCACTGAGGCTGTTTAGGGCCTTTGTCTTTAGCCTTCGAGGAAGACAAAGGTTTCTAAACAGTCTGGAAACCAGGGTGCAAAAGTGTGATCTACCACCCCGAGCCATCTCCTAGCTTACCCGTGTAAAACGTCGTGTTGTTGGATTCCAGTTCAAAGATGCTTTTGGTCTGTGAATCAAACCGAAGCCATAGTCCAATTGCAAGAACTGCTGTCCCTGCAAGCTGTAAGAACAAGTAAGCCTCGTTAAATAATACCAATTAATACATTCACCCTTGCATTAGTAACAACATCAGAAGTAAACACAGGATACAGCTCCGTTATTTAAAGAGCTGGTGACAAAGAATCAGCGTAAAAGGATGGGGATACCAAAACACGAATAAACTTAGGTTCCTGACATGAGGCATCTCGTTGACAGATGCGTTTACATATCAAACTACAACACACAAGAACAATGCCGTCCTTGTTCTTTACTGAAAATAACCGAGGTTTACCAAAGTGCCAAGTGTCAGTATTTCCACTGATCCCTCCACCCATTTTTTATTCTGGGTGACTGGAATGACATTGCATGGCTTAGTGATCTTAAATCTTCACACTGAAAGACAAGTGTATTGCAAGAAAAAGCGCCTTGTAAGGCCAGCTAAAAGTTTTAGCATATTAAACAGACTGGTAAGAGTTCAGTGCACTACAGTATAGAGTTTAGAAAGAGTACTCTTGCTTGCAAAACAGGGTAAAACCAACCCAATAAGTCACCGCACTGACAGGATGAGGAAAATACAGGCTGCTGAAAGAGCAACATTGCTGTGTGCTGATCTGGAACAACACAATCAAGTTTTAGATAATATTTAGTTTTATTATATTATTGTTTCTGCCTGTGCCTCCAGGTTCCTTTTAACATCAGTCCCCGTGTTTGCAGCAAGTTGTGTGTATAAATTAACTTCTGGATGAAACACCTAGCAGAAGGCATCAGAGAAGTGTTTGCAAGAAAGAAGGAATTGCACTGCGGTAAGGCAAATGCTAACAGTTTCCTTTGAACAGACTGAACCTCCCCGCTTTAAAAAGAAAACCTGGGGTCATCTTGCATGCAAAACCAAAAAAGAAACCAGGACAAACTAGAAGGCTGGACAGTATGCTTCTCAGCTCTTCCTTCCCTCCTTTGAAGACCATTTAACTATAAAAAAAGCTCTACAAAAGCGAGATGAGGACAGAAATACCACACATTGAAGCAGACATTAAAAATTCTAACTAAGAGTGAGCAATAAGCTTAGAAAGTTTGGAACTTTGGTTACGCTAAGCATGCATGAAAAGGAAAAACAAAGCCTTATTTCTGATAAGAAGTTCCTTCTCGAAGCGAACATTCTTGACTAGCCTCCAAGAAGCTGGAAAGTGTTTACTTTTAAATGTTAATTTTGAGTGAGAATACGGCAGGAATTCCCACAGAAAGCAGCCGACACCAAGCCCAACTCCCGCGGGCCCACGCTCTCCCCACGGGGAGCCCCAGAGCCCTTTCTCCCTGCTAGGGGAGTGCCTGCCTGCACTGGAGGCGGGCGCAGCTTTGCTGCCCGTGGCCGCCTTTGCTAACCTCCTAGGCTTGCTCTTCCAAACAAATGAGGAAAGCTTTGAAGATTCACACAGGACAAAGAGGATGGAACTAAGCCAGGGTTTAAGGGAAGGTATATCCCTTGCAGCTTCTCAGCAGAAAGCATCCTAACTGAAGTGCTAAATGGCTCAGGTATCAGCAAAGAAAGAGAAAAGGCCAGCCCTGCCAGAAAAACCAGCATTTCTTGTATGGCAGGCACCTGACTCCCAAGCCTGCCTCGAAGAGGAGCTGCAGGGTTTTAGCTGGGAAAAAGATGAAGTGATACGCCATGCATAAAGAGCCAAACCCAAACAGAGGCTTCCAGACCTATGCAAAAGGCACTTTGTTGGTGTCACAGGTGTGTAGGCACAGGCTTACTCACAAAGCACGCAGCAAGAACAAAGCCTGCACGTACCTACCACTTTCCTTGTTAGGGCTACGCTGACAAAATAATTTTAAGTTATGCCAAAGAACCTTGATAGTACACAGTATGTCACAACAGCGTTATTATTTCAATTTATTGTGCCACAGCAGCACCCCAGGGGAAGGGAGAGGTGCAGGAAGGGGACTGGCAGAGAGAAGGGTTGCCGCTCTACCTGCGCTCACTGCTACAGCATCACTTAAAGCCTTCGCAATCTCACTTCAGTGCCTCAGTTCAAAAACCACAAGGGCTTAGAGATGGAAAACAACTCACGCACTGCTTCTAGCCTACAGTTAAGTCACCCAGTATTTAATAACACTCTGTTTGAGACTCACTTTTCCTGGGTCATCAAACAGTCTTCAGCTTTTATAGGCATCCAGATCTGGAGCATTAGGGGAAGAAACCTACAGCCTCAGCTTGTTGCGCTAGGAACTCATGAATTACAAAGCCACAAGCCTAAGCACACCCAGCTGTCTGCACCTACCTATGTTTGTGGTTTGATAAGCCTCAGTGTTTGAGTAGAGAGCTCGGGACAGTGCGGAGCAGGGCACAGCAAAGGACTGTAAAACTAAACCCCAGAGCTGACCCCCCCACAGACCTTTAAGGCCAGAATATTCAAACTGAACTCTAAGCCATACTACAACCATGTAGATAACCTTGCAAGTCCAAGCAAAGCAGAAGGCTCAGTTAATGATCTCTTCGAGAAACAAACTGGTTGGTTAACATTAGGGAGAGCTGACATACTTAATATGGCTCTTTAAAAAACAGACTTAACTCTGGCTGGTGAGGGGGAAGGGTTAACTGTCATGTTTTCTCCTTGGAAAAGCAGTCATCCTGTGAAAAAAGTTATTATCACAGGGAGGCAAAAGACTTATTATGGATCACAGAATAGTGATAATACTTGATATCAGTGAACTGCTCCAGATCACTAAAAAAAAGTAGGATTAAATAAAGTGATAATTCTTTCCATGGTGGACTAGAAAAAAAATACAGCTCCTTCTTGCAAGAAAAAGTGAGTTTTTGTCTTGTTTTCTTAAGGAAAGCAGACTTGTGTTCTCAGTTTGTGCTCTTCCTACCCACAATGACCACTGAACTAAAAAAAGGCAGTTTTAAAGCAGAAGGCAAGAAAGTAATTTGAAACTTCAAGTTTTCATCAAAACAACAAGAGACTAGGGCACCAACGCTTGGCCTCAGAGGAAGAAGCAAGCACAGCCCCACAGGCACCCGCTGCGCTTGGCAGCATCTCGGACCGATCTGGCACACCCGAGGCTGGTCCAGGGCCGCCTCTCTGCTCACTGGTGCTACGCCAGTAGGTTTTGGCAGCGTTGTTGGGGTGGTTTTGGTAGTTGTTGTTTTTCCTCCCTAGGAAAGAGGTGCAAGCCCCCCCTGCCTGGGCTGCATGGAAGCAGATCCCCTGAAGAGCTGGTTGTTGGGTTTTTAATCCAAGTGTCTTCCCCAATCTAACAGACCTGTTTTGTCATAGGAGTTGAGTAATACAGGATATTTCTAAGTAGATCGATCCTGTGCTGAAAAATTTAACAGAAAGAACAAAACTGAAGCTAGTCACTGTGTGTGCAAAAACCTACACAACTAAGAAAAGAGCAGGTTTGTGTGCTTATGAAACACATAAGTAGTATGTTTCTGTAGTAACAAGTATAGGAAAGGGACCTCAAAAGACAGCTGTTTTTACCAATCTGACCAAAATGTGAAGTTAAAGGCGTACTATTCACTCACTGTATTGGAAAAGTTTGTGGCAGTGATTCTCCAGTAACAGCATGTCCCAGCACAAGTACACTACCAACATCCCTGCTCAAGCTAACAAGGCTTCCTTGTGATTCCTCTAACCAATACTAAGCATCTTACAGCTCCCAGCTCATTTCTGTTTGACTTATCTCTATTCTATAGCTGCAACGGACATATGCTAAGCAAGGATAAAAATATCTGGTCATTCCTCCTCTAGTCCTATGAACGCTCCTTGTTTTTTGGGGTTTTTTTTGCATCGCATGCAAACATACCCCCATCGCCTCAAAGGCTCTATCTACTCCTGCATGCATCTTTCTGCCTGTTGCAACAGGAAAAAATGGCTTTTTTGGTCTGTCTTCCTTTCTTACACAGCCCTGCACCTTCTCTAGTGAGCCTCCTGTGCAGGACTTCCCTCCTCCCACCCATCCAGCCCCACACTCTGACAAGTGCCTTCTCCAAAGTCAGCCCCTTCCATTGCTGTGGTCTCCCCCTTACAAACTACATGGTTTTGCCTCTGAGCATATCTAAGGGTGTGTCCAGTATTTACCTTTGACACCCTGTTTTCTTTTAGCCTTCCATGTAAGATGGAAGAGATAACTGACGAAGGACCTGTACCACTGCAGAGGACAGTCACTACATACTTGAGATGAGAAACAACCCATCTATCCTGGAGGCAGAAGCCATACAGAACACTCTGCCTTCCTCCCCTCACCATACCTGGCTAACTTCAGCATGAACTTGCAGCATTCAGTGCTGAGGCATGCTATCAAGCAATTTCCACCGCATTTTTTTCTCCTTTAACACCTGAGGTTTCACAGATATGGCCTCCTAGCAGAAGGCTTGCACAGGGAATCATTAGATTTAACAATACTGGTGTAGACACACATTAAAAGCTTGAGCTTTTCAAACTAGAAATTCCAATTTTTATTAACACATCCCATGATACAGCAACACATGGCACTCCTTGGGAAGCTGGAAAGTTTGTTTTAGGTTTAACCACTATTTTGCAAGGACCATTTTGTCCAGTCCCTTCTGACCTTGTCACCTTGATCCATCTTGAGAAACCACAATCCCCAACCAAGCACCCCACTTGCTGCAGACACCTTACAGCATCTTACCTTTCCACAGACAGAACCGCCTCTCAAGGGGCTCAAGGTCCAAGCAGTTATCAAGTCCTTATAGCTGGCAGATACAGCTTAGGGAGGGGCCTCCGCCCCCCCAAGCATCCAGGTTAGTACCAGCCCTTCCTCCACTTCCACAGCACAGAGGCAGGCGTAGAGAAGAAACGAGACACTGCAAGAACTCCTGATATATGGATCAAAGGCTGTAAAAAAGCCTTTGTACAGGAAACTATAGATTCCGCTATTTTAGCGCGTTCAGGCCAAGCTTACATGCAACTTCTATCAAGTTTGTGGCATTACTTCTAGCAGAAGGTAAGTCAATATGTGGAAAAATGGCAGAGTTGGTAGAGTCGGTCAAAAATGAATACTACTTTCAGT